TACCCACCATGATTATCATGGTCTGTACCACGTGTACTAGGGATAATAAAAAGAATAATAATTTCACACAGAGTTTGTTAAACAATTAAAAAGGTTTCCATGAGATGAGTTTCTTTTTATTTTAAAATCATCTCAAGGACATCTCTGTCCTTCCACAGGAGAACTTATATAATGAATAAAACGTCGCCTGATGCTGAACTTGTTTGGCAGTAGAAGGGAAGAGATGTCTGAAAGCTTTAAATGGTTTTAAAATAAACGAGAAACTCATCTCTGGAAACCTTTTTTAATTGTTTAATAAATGTCCAGGAGATTTCACACTGAGAGTTTGTGGCAATCAGGTGTTCAAGGCAGACCACCTCCTGAACCTAGACACCTACCGGAAGTGGAAGTGTGCCAAGCCCGGGGAGAAATGTGCCTCTGTTATCCTCCAGCTGGAGAAAGCCTCCCAGATCCACAGCATTGACATTGGCAATGAGAGCTCGGCTTTCATTGAAGTCCTGGTCAACAGGTCCTCTGAGCCTTCCAAAGACTTCCAGGTGAGTATCACCTTACTTTCATTTTGTGGTGGTGGTGTCTTGTCCAAGCTGCTCCATGGAAAGGGAGGGGTCCCATTGCTCCGTTAGTCAGCCACATTTCAGAGTTCCCTGTTCACTGTTACCGTAGCGGCTCGGGGCTCACAACACCGTACTTCACTCTACAGGGCAGTTCCTTACTTACTTGTGCTGCTTTTCTCGCCCCCCATGTAGAGGAGGGGTTTTGGACTTCTGAGCAGGGCTGTCATCTTGTACTAGATGTTATACATTGAGATTTTATAAAACTGTCAGTGTTTTTTTTTTTAGTCTTCTCTTCTTCTTCTTTCTTTTCTCCACACTGGGTGAAGTAGAATCAAGACTGGGAGCACTACTCAGTGGAAGGATGACTTAACTCTTTTTTTTTTTTTAGTAAATACAGTGAGACAATTCAACTGACTAATTTATCAGTTTTTTGAATTCCAACCAGCCTATTTGCTTTAAGAGAAAGTTTGAGTCAATCAATTAAGTTTATATAAAAGGATGTACAAAAAAATTCTCAAAATATTTCGAGATAATTGCTCCCTCTTTATCAATTTATTGAACAGTAAATTTTAATTATTTAATACAAGAATTTGTAAATTTTAAATTTACTGTGTAATAAATTGATAAAGAGGGAGTTCTCTCGAAATATTTTGAGGAATTTTCTTTTTTTTTTCTTTACAGATCCAGGTACGCCCTTTTATATAAATTTAAGAGAAAGGCCTAAAATTTCACTTTTGTTTTTCACTATTTACTTTAGTTGACTATCCTTCAACAGCGACCACAATTCAACAGTGTTGGAATTTCAATCAGCCTATTTATTTTAGTCGGCTCTAATTTAACACTGACTTTAATTCAACCGAAAATTTTATCCCTAGGGAATTTGGATTACAGAAGTTGTACTATATAGCAACTCATTCTGCCCATATACCCAATAATTCACAGGTAGTGAGTGCTATCTCGCACAATGGGCCATTTCACCTTCTTCTGAGAAATTCCCTTCATATCTTTCAATTCTAGACCATTCTACCCCTTTGCAAAGCTGGCTGCTACAGGGTGGTACATCTCCAGGTAGCAGATAGGGTAACCACCTCCAGATATGAAGGCCAGTTGCGAAACAAGCACAATAACTGATGAATAAGCAGTCGCGGACCAACAGCAACATTGTTAGAAAGAGGAGAAAGACCTCTTTAAAAATCCTGAATTCAACTGACCAGGTTGATAGATATCAGAAAGGTTTCTTTTCAGGGATACGGATTAGTTGCGTCTGTACTCATTTTATAGTTGGCAGCAAAAGCGTTTGCTTCCATGTTAGGAACAGCCTAAAATTACAGGCAAAGTCAGACTTTCACTAAAGTGTGCCTGAATCATGTGATCAACGAAAGCTACACCCCATTCCATGAGATCAAGCTCGAGGTGCATGGACTCATGGAATTTGTGTAATCTTTGCACAAGGGGATAATAAACAACAGACCATTCTATCAGACTATTGAACCACACAAAGGCCTTCCTTGGACTACCACTTCCTTCTGCAAGGTGTATCACTCCAGTATGGACAATCTCCTGATAGTCTCAGAATACATGTCCTGCAAACTTCTGCTTGATTACTTCATTTAGAAGTTGGTTATACTTTCCATTAAATGTCTGCCACACATTGGATATACATCTTTAACCCTCATCTATACATCATCCTAACGTCATCTTTAAGAGTATTTTTGTGACCACCACGCACACATTCTGGAATTAAACACAAAAATCGACAATTATTTTTGCTATTTATTCCCCACTAGATCATACAAGCTATGCAGCTAAGCCATGCTGTGTGACAGATCCTTTTGGTATCTTCATCTTTCCAGACCCCGCTAGAGAGCAGGAATGAGACCAATGTCAACCGGGTTCGGATGTTTGGGCCGAAGAACCTCAGCCTGCCCACCTGCAAGGAGAAGTGGGATCAGATCAAGGTGGTGTGTACACAGCCCTACAACAAGGTCTGTCTGTCCACAGTCTATCTGTCTATCCTGGGTGTTGACTTTGGATGTTCCCCAGAACACCCAGTATGGCCTCTCCTTCATTAAGCTCTCCTCACCTCCTGAAGACACCTCTTCTTCCCAGGTATGACTTCAGACTGGTGTATAGCCTTCTCAATCGTGTTCCTCCAAGTAGGTTGATTCATTGCTATATCTAGTGGTAAGACTTGGTTGTCCTGGTCCATTCATTGAGGATTTTTGGTGGGAAAACTAATGCAGTGGTTTCCCCTTGCCTCCCACATTCATATAACATCAACCTAATAGTATTTGTCAGCAGGACAAAAGTATTGCAGGATTAACCATACTTTATAAAGGACTGCGGCGGGTGATTATAAATAATACTTAAAGTTACACCGCATAAGTTTCTTTTTCTATGAAAAATCAATAATTATTTCAAAGAGAAATACCTACTATTTCTAACTTTTTTGAATGAAGTATGAGAGGGTGAAAATATGAAGAGTAATGGCGAACGGAAAAATAAAAGTGTCCAGGGGCGGGAATCGATTTCAAATTGTGCCTTATCATTCCCCCAGGGACAAGAGTGTCCTTCTTGATCACTAGAATGAAGTCAATAGCTCATCTCAGCTTTCATACGGCCCCCTTTTGTGTTAACCATCCCATTAGGATGTTGTCTGTCCTCTACCAGATATGTACTCACACTGGGAGGTACAAATAGGGGTTTTCTCCATTCACATTGGGATTGAGACAAAATGGCACTTCTCTCAAAACCTTCCAGTAATTTTAGCACAGTAAGGCCAGTATAAAATAGAGTAAAGTGACGTGTTTATTTATTGAAAAGTTATAAATTTGGTGAGCTTTCAGACAATAACATTCTTTAACAGGCTAAACATGAATTTCCTTCTTCTTCTTCCTTCTTATCTCCACTCAATCACACTAAGGTATCAAGCCTGTAAAGCTTGTTGATGGTGTCTGCCGGGGAAGAGTAGAGCTCATTAATGGATGAGTCAATACAGTCAATAATATGTCTTGGGGTTGCAGGCTGAGAATTTCACTTAGTACATAGTGGGAAAACCCTGCAACCATTCTGGAAAGTCATTGTCCGTAGATGACCAGACTTAAGTCTTAAGACTTAAGTTAATGAATTTCCTGACGAATCCATGAGTCTTGTATTTGTATTCAGCCTCTTGAAGAACGTTATTGTTTGAAAGCTCACCAAGCTTTTACCTTTTCAATAAAGAAACTCGTCGCTGTTGGCTTCTATCTTTTCTTTAATATGATATTTAGCGATTCTTCTTTCTTATCTCCACTCAATCATATCAGGGAATAAAGTGACAACCATCATGACTGTGTGAAGTAGAATGCATCTGCCTTTGTCATTAAGACTGGGAGCATTACTCAGTAGCAAGCTAACTTAGCTCCAAAAGAAATGGCCACCTCTGATATAAGGAACAGACACCATGTACAGGCACTCCTAACATGGAGTACAGACTCATCCTGTATCCCTGGATTAGGAGTCCTTACAGGGTACTATCAGCCAGGCCAGCTTAGCCCAGGTTTTTTAGTGAGCTTTTTACTGTTTCTCCTCCTCCTTTTTCATCCGGGCTTGGGACCGGCACAAAGGTGATTCTTCCTATTTTAATAGAATGTATATAGAGAGAGTGTGGACAGTTCTCATTAAGTTTTCCCCCAATGACAGAAGTCTGTGCAGAAACCTGTCACCAAACTGGGAGCTTTCAAGATGAAGAGCCAGGAGACCAGCGACCCATCTCCCAGTGTGGGCTCCTGGTTCAGCAAGAGGAACTCTCAGGAAGACATCCCGGACCCTGTTACAGGTCCGTTCCCTCTACCCATCTGCCTGTCTGTTGTCTGCTATAGCACCCATCTTTATAAGTTGGGTTATTGTCTGGAGCACAGTAAATTGTTGAAAGTACAAAATTGTGAGGCAAAGAGAGCTTCTTGTAAACACAAAGTAATAAGACCAAATCCAAATAAATAAATAGTGTGTGATGTTTCAGTAACTGCATTGTTACTAGCATCAGACAAAAGTACTGAAAAATTTGTCTGATAATGTGGTAGCAACGATGTTACCCATGGAATTCATGTAATCTTTACACAAGTGGATAAGCAACAACAACACACTGTTACCAAAATGGCACAGGCTATTTATTTATTTGGATTTAGTCTTATTACCTTGCATTTATAATCTACTAGCCGAATGACCCGGGCAACGCCCGTGTTTTACCCGACTGTAGATGTTACAACGGTGATCCTTAGGTCGCTGGTTCAAATCCGGCTCGAGGGAGCCGGCGAGCACGTGACCTCCCTGTGCGCGCACATCCGTGACAGAGGCCGATGAGGAAAGACGGTCGTGACTATATATATATAATATATGTATTATATATAAAATATATAAATAGGATTAGTTGACTTTATAAGGTAAACTTATTCATACAGTTTGTATCCCTCGATAGCTCAGTTGGCAGAGCGGAGGACTGTAGATGTTACAACAGTGATCCTTAGGTTGCTGGTTCAAATCCGGCTCGAGGGAGTTTTATTTTTATTTTTATTGGCTGCCCGCGAGCACGTGACCTCCTTGTGCGCGCGCATCCGTGATAGAGGCCGATGAGGAAAGACGGTCGTGACTATATATAGGGATAATACAAATTGTGCCTTATTATTTTTGAAACTCTAGTTGTTCAATAAACTTATTTTCGCTGGTCTTTCTACAATATTTACTTTTTAACTTTAAACTTGAGTTATATATAGTTATAATAGTTGGCGCATGAGTCTTCCCAATGAATGTAGCAGACCAGGGATACGGAGGAGCTGCGTCTGTACTCATGTTAGAGTCGGCAGTAAAGGCGTCTGCTTCCATGTTAGGAACGGCCTCAAACTACAGGCAAAGTCAGACTTTCACCAAAGTGTGCCTGGATCATGGTGCCATGATCAACTAAAGCTGCACCCCTACACCCCATTCCATGAGCAGACCTCCCCCCCAGGATCTGAACAACACTGGTCTTGCGCAACTAACACACTTTCTTTCTTAACCACAATATATATTTACACGTGACCAGATATTCTTGGTTAAATATCATACAAAAATATACTCAGAGCTTATTCTTGTTCTTTCTTATCGCCACTCAATCATATTAGGGTATCAAGTCTGTAGAGTGTGCCTAGATCATGGTGCCATGATCAACAAAAGCTGCACCCTACACCTCATTCCATGAGATCAGCAGCTCGAGGAGCATGAACTCATGGAATTTGTGTAAGCTTTACACAAGGGGATAAGAAACAATAACAAGCCTGTAGAGGTGTTTGACATCCATAATGATTGAATGAAGTAGAATGTGTCTGCTTTTGTCATTAAGACTGGGACTCAGTAGTAGGCTGCCTCTGACATGAGGAACAGACACCATGTGCAGCCGTTCCTTACATGGAATACAGACTCATCCTGTATTCCTGGATTAGGAGTCCTTACAGGGTACTATCAGCCAGGCCAGTTGAGTCCAGGTTTGTAGCGAGCTTGTTACTGCTTCCTCTCCTTCTTTTATTAAATAATATAAACTCTAACTTATAAACTAAAATATAAAAGGGAGATGGGGAATCAACGTGTGTTCCTGCCAGGTCCTGCTGCCATCCGACAAGCCACTTCCCTGGCCTCGGCAGTTCTCAACTCCCAGAAGCTCACCAACTTCACTCCTGTAAGTGTGTGGTTCCTTGCTGTTCTGTGTGGTGTTCTCTGTTCACCCATTCCTCTTGCTCCCATGTCTGAGACAAAGACCTACCAAATTTGACACTTTCGATAGAATATCATCAGACAAAAGTACTTTTGTCCCTTTTACCTAAATGTACCAGGTCAAAGTCCAAGTTACACCTCTCTGTAGGTGACCTCGGGGAAATGCTGGATAAAACCAGCGCTTTAACGTAACTGGCATATAACCTATATGGAGTCGTGCAGGATACCTGTACAGAGAACCAAGAAGAGTTCTTGAACTTTCTTTATGAGCCGACCTCCAAGATCTTGTCTAATTTGGACTAATAAAAGGATAAGTAAAACGACACTTGAAGTTACACCGCATGAGTTTCTTTTAACTATAAATAATTTGTTTTTTTTTAATTTCAAGGTGAAATGTTGACCATTTCTAACCTTTTTGGATGAGGTATGAAAGGATGAATTATGAAGAGCAATGACGAATGGAAAAATAAAAGTGTCCAGGGATGGGAAACGAACCCACAATGTTCCGCTTACCGGGCAGATGCCATGTCCACTAGGCTACCCTGGACGTATTTTTTCATTCGTAAATGATACATAAAGTAACTTATAATACAATATTAATGAAATGCGGCCTGTGATTGTAAAACGACACTTGAAGTTACACCGCATGAGTTTCTTTTAACGATAAACGTTCGTCATTGCTCTTCATAATTCATCCTTTCATACCTCATCCAAAAAGGTTAGAAATGGTCGATATTTCACCTTGAAATAAAAAAAAAAAAAAAAATTGATTTATCGTTAAAAGAAACTCATGCGGTGTAACTTCAAGTGTCGTTTTACAATCACAGGCCGCATTGCATTAATAAAAGGATAAGTAAAAAAAACAACCTAAATGTGACATTCTTATTTATTTATTTGAGTTTGGTCCTTTCATGTTTCTAATCTATAATCCAAATTGTGCCTTTAAGATTGATATATTTATCTTTTTATTTGTTCTGTCACATTCTGAGTAGCTTTCTCCATGTCCACATTACAAAAGCTTCAAGTATTTTTCTTTCTTCTTTGAGAGTCCAGCTCTCACAGGTAAAATATATATACCAGAGTGTAATAACACAGAGATCTTCTTTCTTATCTCCACTCAATCATATCAAGGTATTAAGCTTGTAAAGCTTGTTGATGGTGTTTACCGGGGATGTGTAGAGCTCATCAATGGATGAATCAATACAGTCAATAATATGTTTTGGGGTTGCAGGTTGACACTTAGTACATAGTGGGAAAACCTTGCAACCATTCTGGAAAGTCATTGTCTGTTGATGATCAGGCTTAAGTCTGGAAATCAAAGACTGTTGTTCTCTTGGGAGGACAGAACTGGTGCTTGTCCCTCCTGATCTGTACCAGTCATGTGCAGCGTTAGATTTCCATTCCTGCATTATTATATATATTCCCTTCCATTAGATTTCCAATAACACAGAGATAGAAAGAGTAGATTATAATGCCATCTCTATATAAGAGATAGAAGATTCAAAGCACGAATCTTTCTTTTAAACATAAAACAAAATTCTACATCTGATCTCATGGAATGGGGTCAAAACAAAAATAAACAAGAACTGGAGGATCCCACCTAAAGCACAGTTGGTACAGTGGAGTGAACCCAAGAGGAGCTCTGAACATCAGACAGCATCAAACAACACTAACAAGATTTAGAACAGGCCATCTCAAGCCATTGAAGATAGAAAATAATAACAAAATTTACCCCACTTGCCCAAAATGTAGTTTGGTACCTGCAGCTCCAGAACACATTTTGGCTTGCATTAGATGCACTAAACAGGATCTTTGGGAGAGACCGCTGCTTATCATAAAACAGCTCGAGGAGCATGAACTCATGGAATTTGTGTAATCTTTACACAAGGGGATAAGAAACAACAACCAATTCTACTGTCCTTACTGCTGTGAAAAAATATTGTGAGGTCTTGTGGCTCATTGCGGAAGAACATTGCTCGATTCAAATATTTATATGTAATTCTACTGTCCTAAAATCTTATGTCCATAGTTTGCTTGAATACCATTTCTAAGATTCCACCCTTCATTGTAGCATATATAAGCAGAATGATCCAATACAGTATTAGAGCTCTAAAGAAGCGGTCTGGTAGATTGAGAATTGGTGAAACCGCTGGGAGGGTTTGTAATTCTACTGTCCTAAAAGCTTATGTCCATAGTTTACTTAAATACCATTTCTAAGATTCCACCCTTCAGTGTAGCATATATAAGCAGAATGATCCAATACAGTATTAGAGCTTTAAGAAGCGGTCTGGTAGATTAAATTGACGAAATTGCTGAGAGGTTCACCACTGATGAGCCAAGCCCTCCCAATATTTTTTTCAATACAGTAAGGACAGTAGAAGTTTGTTTTATATTTAAAAAGAAACATTTGTGTTTTGATGGTTCTATTTCTTAGAGAGAAGTGTTGGCAACAGCAGCAATGTCTGTGTGCAGAAACCCGGAGACAAAAGGAAGATCAGCCTAGGAGACTCTGAGGCTCCACCACCCAAGAAACACAATGGTAACTTATGTTGTGTACTCTGTCCCTACCACATGATGATCATTAACTGCTAGCTTTAAAGACAAGGTAATAAGATCAAATAAATAGTGTGTGACGCTTCGGTAACAGCATTGTTACCATCTTCAGACAAAAGTTATCTTCTTCTTCTTTCTTATCTCCACTCAATCATATTAGGGTATCAAGCTTGTAGAGCTTGTTGATGGTGTCTGTTTGGCAACCATCATGACTGGGTGAAGTAGAATGCATCTGCCTTTGTCATTAAGACTGGGAGCACTACTCAGTGGCAGGCCGACTTAGCTCCAAAAGAAATGGCAGCTTCTGACATGAGGAACAGATGCCATGTGCAGCCAAATGTGGAGTACAAATGCTGCTCATCCTGTATCCCTGGATTAGGAGACCTTACAGGGTACTATCAGCCGGGCCAGCTGAGCCCAGGTTTTTTAGCAAGCTTGTTACTGCTTCCCCTCCTCCTTTTTCATTCGGACTTGGGACCGGCAAAAGCGGAGTTGACAAAAGTTATGAATGTTTTTATAATCTAGAATCCAAGTTGTGTTTTATAAATGTTAACTTTGATTCTTCCCACTTGTTCTCAATCTCTTTCCTTGATCTCCTGGTTCAATAGGTAACAAGACCAAATACAATGATAAGGCACAATTTGGATTATAGATTATAAACACAAGGTAATAAGACCAAATCCTAATAAATAAATAGTGTGTGATGTTTCAGTAACAATGCTGTTATTATCATCAGACAAAAGTACTGAAGGAGGAAATATATCACTTGTTTTAAATAGTTACTGTTATCACAAGTGTGTAAACAAGATAGCAGATAAGATTTCTTATCTAATGTTGTTACTGAAACATCACACACTATTTATTTATTTAGATTTGGTCTTATTACCTTGTGTTTATAATCGATTTTCTTATCTGTTATCTTGTTTATACACCTGATATCAGTAACTATACAAAACATGCTGTGATATATTTTCTCATTCAGTACTTTTAAACACAAGGTAATAAGACCAAATCCAAATAAATAAATAGTGTGTGATGTTTCTGTAACAGTTTATCGATTCAGTACTTTTGTCTGAAGATGGTAACAACGTTGTTACCGAAACATCACACACTATTTATTTATTTGGATTTGGTCTTATTACCTTGTGTTTATAATCTATAATCCGAATTGTGTGCCTTATCATTCAATACTTTTGTCTGATGATGGTAGCAGCGTTGTTACAAAAACTTCATACACTATTTATTTATTTGGATTT